TTTTAAATCACAATTAAACTACAGGGAAAACCTGTATGTTTTATGGACAGCATTTGAAGGATGTGTTGAAATTTAGCATGCTCATAGATTTGATTCAGGGAACTGTGCTGTGACCCTCACTTTCTACATAACCTGGTGGAGGCTATTTGTTGTCATCCATGTTTTTGAGCCTTCTGGAATGCATTGGCAAGTAGGGAGCTGAGAGTCATCTGGGAGGCATTTCCAGATATTGTAGGCTACAACTAGAAGGGGTGAGAGATAAGGAAAAAAAGCTATCTGAACTGTGAGCTACAGAAGAGCATAGAATAGTGTCCAAACCCTCCTTTCCATCAAAAGATTTGGCAACAAAACTGGAAATATGTATGGGAGCAATGGTAGACAGTAGCTCCATTCTGCTGCAGGAATGCATACACAGTTTGCACAGGCGTGCCTGCCAGCTCCAGGATGTCTCTGTCTGATCAGTGGCCTTCAGCTGAGATGATTCAGGTTTCAAACCCACAAACCTTTTAAGCTTGATTCAGTAACAGAAAGTGTGTGGGGGGAAGTAATAAAGAAAATAAAAACCCACTATGTTTATGGTTTATGCTTGCAGTTAAATACTTATTTGACATTAAGCACATATTCACTGTATGGATAAATGAAAAAAGGACTTAGGGGAGAAAGTTTTGGTCTCCCAGAGAAAATAGATTGCTGATTTTTAACTGGATTCTTAAAAGCTATGATGACAGCACTAATCACAATTTTAGTTCACAGTAATATCCCCAAATTATTTGTACCCAGATTATTTGCAAGACTTTAGAAAATACCTTTCACAGGTGATAATATAAAAAGATTTCTAGTAAAATTGCAACCAAGCCAGCATTTCCCTGAATAAGATGAAGACTTATATAAAAATTGCAGTTTGCTTACTATTTCTGGCCCATTTTTGTGGTTATCTGACCTAACCATTTTCTGTCTTTTGCATCATGGGTCTGACTCTGTTTTTTAAAATTACCTCCCAGTTTGCGAGAACCAGGAATCTCTTCTTTTAAAGTGCAGCTCTACAAAGTCTCAGTCACAGAAGACCACAGCTGGAGAAAATTATAGCTGCCAGTGCCAAGCTATGTATTTATGTCTTCCTTTCCCACAGGCAAAGGCTGACACCAGAACTTTCACATGAACAGTTGTGAAAGAGTAGCTTAGATAATCTATAGGTTACTTTGAAAACAAAGACATGTTGTCTACATTAAATAAGAAAATTCAAATGCTGTCTGCAGTAAGTTTCATTAGGTAGAAAAAATGTCAGTGTACAGTTAATTTAAGGGCAATGTAGTGGAAAATAAGGAAAAATGTTTGCAATGACTGATTGCTTTACTATATTTGTTTATGACAAATCTCAATTTCTCACAGATGTGGACACATTGACACATTTATCAAATATGACATTCTTCCCCCTCGTCAGTTTAATGTGGAGTAAAATTACTATGGCACTACAAAGATGCGTTCCCCCTCTCCCCCCGAAGTATCTATAACTAAGAATTAGAAAGCAGCTAATTCTTACACAAAAACGTGCAATACGGAACCTAATCGCCAGTCCTCCATCAGCAGGTAGGGACATTCCATTCCTGGAACAAGTTTGTAAACTTTTTATGACCAGGCAGGTGGCACCTGTAGGTGTCTTGCTGATAGACCGAGGGAGAGGACAGTGAGCAAAGGGGGTCTTGTGGTTCGTGTGAGGCACTTAGTGCACAGATGTGTGCACTCACAGTGTGCTTTACGGGGGGCATCCTGTGGAACCTGTTGCCATCAGATGGTGTGAAGGCCTCTGTGCAGCAGACGGCCCTCTTGGATGGGCTTTGGTAAAGCCTGTGAAGGGAGCTAAGATGCTGCCCACAGCTCTCCACCCCACTGCAGATTAGACCTGTTAAAGCAGAGGCAGCAAAATGCAATGCTTGTCCTGGTCTAAGGCATCGCAGTGTTGAGTTCAGCACAGTAATGCAAACCGAGGTACACCAGCAGCTGTCCTGTAGACTGGATAGGTAAGAGACAACCTGTTCTGCTGCCTACAGAAGCAGACAGCTGCCCAGGCTCATCTGTCAGGTTCCTTGGTTACACCTAGAAAAGGGGACCTGTAAAAGCTGAGCTGCTAAGACGCTGCCTCATCTACCCAGCAGAAAATGACCAGCAGTGGCGTACTTCATCACACTGATTCCCAACACAAAGACAAGAGCCTCAATGCCAACTAATCCCACTCTGGAGCTCCTTCTGACACTCAACTTTTGTCACAGCACATGGCCTGGGAGGGCAGAGGTGGCATTGCTGTTAATCCTCTCCCTGCTTGTACCCAGCAGCTCAGCTGCACACTGCCCTGAGAGCAAAGGGGTGCAGCAACCACACTCCTCTGGAGAGGCTGCAATCCGTGTCTGAGGAATAACCACCATGCTCAGAGGAATATCGTGGGGGAGTGCTCCCAATCCATCTCACAGCTGCTGCATGGGTTTTTCTATCCATCACTGGTGCAAGACATTGATGCAGCCAGGATCTGCAGTGTGCTCACAGTGCTGCTCCTGCTGAAAAGAGACCACGTGGAACTGGGCAGGGCAGCCAAGAGACAATAGCGGCTGACTGGCTGTCCAGCAGCTCTCTGCTGCACGTTGTGATTTGGCTACTCCTTATGCCAGCTCAGCAGCCACTCCAGAACTTGAGCTAAGCCAGGAGGTGTGTGCAACAGTGGGGGAGGGATGGGTGGGGGGAGAGAAACAGATGTGAGAATGAGGGGAGATTTATGTCAGGAGATAAAAGAAATACGAAAGGCTTGCCAGGGAGGGAGTGGCCAGCACCCAGGTGATGGCTGTCCCAGGCCTGTTGAAGCATATGCTCATCAGTACCTTTGACTTTAGCATTTTGACCCCTGATTGCCCCTGTGCAAGTGAGATTAACCGTGCTTTCTCTGGACCTCAGCAGTGCATACCTGTGTCAAGTACTAAAAGAAAACCGCCACATTCAAATAGCCTACTGTGAAAGGAAGCCAGAGCAAAGAAAACCTCTTAAGGAAGGAGGTTCTCTCCAGAGAATGTGTATTTAGAGGCACAATACATATTGGCAGTATTACAGCTCTCATGTTGGTGTCCTTCTGCAGGACAGCAAGCATGAAAATCTTTTGACAAAGACATCAGCCTGGAGGACACCTGCTGTCCCATTTCAGTTAACATTCATGAACATCAAGTACTCAGAGTTCTTCCTTACAGTTTCAAGACGTGTAATTGAGCCTGATAACATTGTTACTATTTACCATAGAAATAGTAAATAGCTATAAATAGGATTTTTCTATTAATAAGATTTTCTAAAAATCCAACAGCAACCTTCTCTTCCCAAAAAAGCAAAGCGCTTGAGGCCTCCCCTCCCACCGCAAAATCCAAGTACCCTCCTCCTTACAGTATCTGCTCTTTGTTACAATTACACAATGAGTTCAAAGCCAATAGTGATAGGAATTTTATTTCTGAACTTCTAAAAGATTAATACAAACAATAGAAAATAGACAAAATTAAAAACCTATTAAAAAAGTTAGTTATTCTTGTAAAAGTGCTCTATAAAAAAGTGAAGGCAAATCACCAAGTACATTTTAGTAAGTTTCATGTACTGCAAACCTTGACAGTGATGCATGCAAGTGTCTTTGGGTGTTCCTGGATTTTTAGTGTCTGTTTGGTCACATTTTAAATACATCAAGAAAATTCCACCATAGCAGTACTTTTACAAATACATATTAGAAGAAGGATTACAGATTAGAAGTATGGCAAAAAACATGCTTTAGAAATCAAGCCTATGCTATACATTGTGTCCAGCACGTCTAAGACGTGTCATTTTTGCACCGAGATGCACTTAAAAAAAACCCTGAATTTGGCTCCAGGTCTTGCTAATGGAAGCAAAATTCCCCCTGAGAATGTTACTTCAGCACTAACAGCATTTAGCTCTGTACCCTAATTATTCAGTTTTGGGTTGTTTTCTTTAGGGAAAAAAAAAAATAATTTTTGCTATCACTCTGGTGTTGCAGTTTATCAAGACTAAAGTAAGTAATTTGGTAAAAATTTGCATGTTTTTCATTTCTAAAATGTAAACTTCTTAGGTAATATTTGTACAGTTAGCATAGTATGTAACAGCGGTGATGATTATGAAAAGAATGAGAGTTACTGTATCAGGGATGTTGACACTTTTGGTCTGTGTTTGGCCCAGCCACCTGTAAGAGTTTATATTTTCCCTGCCAAGTTCACTGATAAAACGAGAACTTCGTCCTTGGAGAGAGAGCTTCTTGTATAAACTGTATTAAATGGTGTTCTGTGATTGGCTTGTCATCTATCAAGGACATTTGAAGGAGAAACCAAAGAGGAATTGATGAAGTAACGACCCCCGACTCAGTTAGAAAAGACCCCCGAAGCAGACTGCGCATGTGGAAGGGAAATTCCAAAGTACTCATCCATGCGCTGAAGGGATGCACTTGTATAACCAAGGGGGTGGGACCGAGAACCTCTGGTGGGGAGGTGCTGGCCACACCTGCCTAGGCAGATGTGCTCAGTTGATTGTATAAAAGCAGACAGCTCGTTTTTTGGGGTAGCTTGCTCCACATGAAGGACCAAGCTGTCTTTAGTGGGGACGCCTGCTGTGTGTGAGCTGCTAACCCTCCGAAAAACGCAGCTGCTGCAGAGGATTTTATGGCAATCGGAGTTGGTAAGATCCCCCATGAATGACACCTGAGTGAGTAGGGTGTCGTATTTCCTCATCGTTTTCTCTTTCTCTCGGTTCCCGTTTACTTCGGCCACTTCTTTGAAATAAATATTGGGCTTTTTTGTTGAGATTTCAATGGTGTTACAGTTTTCAGTATGCTTCGAACCCACCCTAATACAGTTACATTAAAAAACTTTAAAAGTATTACCAAAAGATAGTGGAATACAGATTCACAAGAACAAACGAATAAATATCTAGGACACTGTTTTTAGCCACATAAAAGTCAGGACACAAAGGGAGACTTTTCTTGTGAAGGAAAGGCAGTTATTATTCATGTCATGCTTGAAGGCAATTCTCCGATGACCTTCCCTATAAGAGGAAAAAAGAAAAGATTTATTAAATGCCTTCTTCCTAAGCTTTCTTTTACAAATTACAACAGAAAAGCTCCTTCGCACTGAAGAAAACATGAATAACCTTTCTTTGTTGGATATTGGTATCCTTGCATATCATAACATTTCTTATTGGCTTTTTTACTTTGCTCTGATTTTCTTATGATCCTAAGATAACAAAATAATAATAAACTTCATATTTTATCTATTAGCAAAAAAATACTAAAAAACATCCTGGGCTGAGCTATGCATTTCTCAAAGCATAATAAATTAATCATCAAACTCTTGTGAAAATATTTTGTAACCTATCTGAATGATGGGATCAAAGTTGAATCCTACAATACATACATCCATACACACAGAGACTGCCAAAAAAAAGAAAAGGTAGAAAGGCTGTTTCAGTAACAGAAGAACACATGCAACAGTCACTGTGAATTTTATCTTATTTGCATGAATAATTAAGGGTAGCACCTAAATTAAGAAAATCTACTTTTGCTTCTCCCCTGCCAAGTTTTTTCCAGAATAGCATCTCATGTCCAGTTGTTCTCTCCCTTTAGGTTCAAACCTGTTTGTTAAACCTATGTAGCAACAATCAAAGCCACGCTACTGATGAGGCAAAAGCTCATCTGCAAGCTCAGGAACCCTGGCAGCAGGAAGGGGAAGATTTTATGTTCTAGCCTAAATTCTGCCCTTAAGAAAACATTCCTTTTGTATTTGACAGTACTCTCAAAGAAGGAACAGAATTCAGTGGCTCTTCCTCTCTTTGCAGATTTTTCAGCTCTTTAGCAGGAACTATTTTTATTTTTTTCTTTTAAAGAAGAGTAACCCTTCTAAATATCCTACTTCCACATTCATTTGTCACACAGAAGAAATAGATTTTCCCAGTTATGGTGTGGTCCTGCCTAGGGCTACTGGCATGCATGGCGTTTCTTTCTCCTGCTGCAATCACTGATAACCTGTACGACTAACGGGAGAGGCCGGAGTGGGAATCACAGAACTGGATCCCAAAGATTTGCAGATGCTGGATGGTCACCCACCCATGTACTCTGCAGGTGTTACATGGGTACAAGCCAGGCAGAGTGCTAAGGCAGAGTTTAGGGAGTAGCTCATCCCTTAGACCTGTGCCAAAAAAGGATGGGATTACAGAATGCCTCAGCTCCTCTTTGCTTCCATCACTTTTGGTGCTGTACCAACAGTAAGAACAGAAAGAGCTTAAGGACAGACATAGCCAAATAAACTGCAAGATGACATTGAAGACCAAATGTATTTTAACAAGGTTCTTGTTTAAGCTGTGAACTAGTTATCACAACACATGCAACTGCTACAGCTTTGTCTTCTCCAGGCTGGGGATGTGACTGGGTTTTTTGTCTGTCTGTGTCAAACACAACTGTGTGTCTTGGACAATTTTAATTAGTTTGGATGCTGCTAAGGACTCTAGAGTTGCTCAAACACAAAAATACAACTATCCTAACAAAAAAAACCCAACTCACAAAAAAAACACTTCTAGAAGGACATGTGGGAAAAAAACATGCTTCAACTGCCACACCTAAAAGAAACAGAAAACCACTTGCAGAGCCAGTAGGGAAATGATAAACACTTATCCACGAAGAACTCAACATTTAAACAACTATCACCATGTTTCTTTGTCCCTGCAAAGGGCTTGAGTTTCAAATCAGAGTGGTTGTCATGGTATCTGTGACTTTATTACCTGTTTTCAGAGTAGAGCACAGGATCGGGGTTCTCGGAAGGGATTGCTCCCCGCAGGAACCCCAACAAGCAAGGCATCTTTGCAGGCATTTTGCATACAGTACTGCTGGAGTTCTGCAGCTGCCTGAGAGACCTGAAAAGGAAAAACAAACCCGGAGAGGAAACTAATTCATTCATAAGCATCTACTAGGCATTTCCTCTTGAAGAGCTATTATCAAACAGAGCTGGAGTGCAGCCAAGTCAGTTCTTGGATTCTAAAACACCAAGTAAATCAGAACAGAAGCACATTTACAAAGCTCTGAGGAACCATGCATGAAATACTAGGCTAGTGATGAGCCAGGAAAGTGCAGAGGACTGAGGTTCAAGTGTGATGCAAATTGTCCTCATTAAAATGCACCGAGACCTGACCACAGTATTTTCCAATCTACTTTTTTTCAGGTTTATATCTGAACTCTTTGATTCTCAGATAATTTATTAAAAGGATTTTAATTTCCAAACTTTTAAGCAACACAAACCATACTAAGGAATGAAAGAAAGAAGAGGAGGATGTAAAGCTTTTTAAGACCGTCCAAATTGTCACCTTCCCCCAGCAGTGAATTCAGAACTTCAAATCCATATTCTGGCCCCAAAGAGGAGAGTCCAGAGCTGCAGAACAAGCCTAGGATCCCAAAGATAAGATGTCCTCAGCACTGAACTCCCCTGCTCTCCCTGTGGATGGCAAGTCAGTCATGTACCTGTATTCTTGAAGATCAATGTAGAGGAATTCACAATGTCCCAGACACACACTAGGAATAGCTGCATGGAACTGTCAAAATCCATGCCATCTGATAGGTTTTTTATAAAAGGAAATAACAGACCATATTGATGGGAATACAAGTTCCCCTCTTAGCTTACCTCTGATTTGTTACAGGACTCCTGAAATAGTGATTTTTCTTCCTACACAACTTTGCAGGGTTGCCAAAACAATAACCAGAAGGACCACCCACACTTCCCAGCCTCCTGTCTAAAGGGGCCACCCAGGAGCCCCTGGGATGGATGGGCCATCCCATCTAACAGCATCTAGAAGTACATGGGAAATCTGGCCTAGCACATTTGCTGTTTTGCTGCTCTCCTGCTCACCACCTTCCAACTCTCCTCCATGATCTCCTCCAAGACACTCAACCTGGTACTGCCCAAATTTACTTGGCTGTTGTCAGCACTTCAGGGAGAAGCTGTGAGGAGCATTTCTCCTCAGCTTCCCAGGTTCTCTTGGGCAGAGTACAGGGAGAAGTAAGGATTCCTGCTACATCAGTGGGCTTCGTCACTTCTTCCTTACTTGAGGAGAACCTTTCTAGAGGCTGCAGGGGTGTCCTGCAGTCCCTTGGACCCCATGCAGCACTACCCCCCTTGCCTCGACCACAGCTGGTACCCTTGCTGGTACGTGACTGTGCACCACAGAGATGCCACCTGCCAACACTGATCAGGCCAAGGCTGCGTGGAGATCTTTTCTGGGAGAGTTAGCAGTTCCTCACAGCATTTCCTTGCACTTTCCTATCAAACTTTCCAGCACATACTAAGCTATATTATACTGGTATAATTTTTTATTTATTTTTTTTTTTACAAACCAGATCTACTCTTAGCCCTACCTATGCCCCAAAAAATTCTTCATTCCTTCAGTTCACATAAAAAGTACAAGGGTTTCTGCCATATTTCATCACACGACAACCACGCTCCCTGCAACAGCCTCCTGTGTGCAAGATGTGTGTGGGTACTTCTTTCTACTCAGTTTCCTCTTTCTGAAAATATTTTTCCTGTCTGCTTTTTCAGCTGGCAGAGTAAACAAAATCACCATGGAACTTTGTAGTATGAAATGTATTTTTAAAAATCCTTTCATAGCCTTCTTCCGTCTGGAAACACATTGTCTATTCAAAGTAGCCGAAACAATGTTTTCTCCTGTACCAGTGTCTGCTAAAACTGAACCAGGTGGTTTTTCCCCAGGTGAATATAGTCCTCATTAGTTTTACACTGTATCTCAAGAAAGCCAAATGACACTTTTTATAAGATACATTTTTAATCATGTGTCATTTCAAAGCCATGAACAGGTTCCTAGAACAGCAGACTTGGAAACAGACTGCTGCGTGCAATGCTGCAAGAAAAATGAGACCGAGGCCAATCAAGGCCAAGTCTCCCTGGAATACAAGCAAACACATAATAAATACATAGGAAGTCCAGTTCCAGAATACGTTATGGGCACAAAGTACCTGCAAACTATAAACTATGTATTTTATACCCCCTCCCCACCCACAAAAAAAACCCGCAATGGGGCGAGGGGGGGTATATATTCCTCAAAATGAGCAGGAACAGAGATCCGGGCACCAGCAATAACTGGTGGTTTGGTCAACCATTTCAATGTTAGACAATATCCCTCTTGCCACAAGAGTCTACATTTGTACTCTGAACCGTGCTGTTTCTCAGATTCCCACACATCACTGCAGTGATAAATCACAGTCACTTGTAGTGACTGCTGATTCAGAATGTGCTAATAAAATTTACTAACATTAACAAATTGATTAGGATGATATCCAAAAGCCATAGTGGTTTCACCTTGCAATGAATACTTCAAATTTTCACCAGCCCAGAGTCAGAAGTAATGAGGAAAAGTATTTTGAATTATTTTTTAAATCAATTAGCTAAGTTCCTGCAACTCAATGTACCGGCATTGTTGTCAGATTGAGGAAGCTATGTTTTGTGACGGGCCAGAGAAAATGGCGAAGAAAGGAGGTGATGAAAGAAGAGGAAAGCACTGGATATAAATTATTTTGACCTTCATCCCTTCACAGACTGTGCTGGATTTTGTGAGTTGTTGGAAAGAGTCGTTTTTGCAAAGTAGTTGTGGACTCCCCCAGACCTGCTGCGAGCTAAGAGCTGTCTTGGACAAGTCACCAAACCTGAGGAGCTGGCGGATGACAGGATCGCCTCACCAGTCCGCCTTTGTCTGGAAATATGCAAGCAGGAGAAGGTTCATGCATGCGTAGCAAATGGCCTGCCTTCTCCAAGTGTGCCAGCGGGTACCACACCGCGCTGCCTCCCCCTGCAGATCCTGCCAGCTCTCCGAAGCGGGGGGGAGTCGCCTGGCTCCGCTGCGAGGAACTACTCCCGATTATCTGCTTGCTTGTGCAGAACTAACGAGGGGCTACTGTATTATTTATCACGGCTCCTTCTACAGGGAACAGCACTCGCTTCACCGCGCCCGCGGGGCTGGGGCTCCGAGCTCCCCCGGGGCACACGCACCCCTCGTCCCCTTCCTTCCCAGGGCGTGGACAACGCGGAGGAAAGGGCAGGAGGGGATTCTCTCCCGGCCCCGCCGCGGAGGTCAGAGCACCCGCGCCTCCCCCCGGCCCCAAGTCCGGCACCCCCGCTCACCTTGATCCTCTCCACGGCCGCCTCCAGCTTTAGCTGCTCCACCAGCCGCTGCATGGTGCTCAGGCTGCCGCCCGACGACATGCCGAGCCCGAGGGGAACACGGAGGGCGTGAGGCTGCGGAGCAGAGCAGGACACAGCCAGGCAGAGCGGCTCGGCAGGCTCGGCTGGGCTCGGCTCGCTCCTCCGCCCCGGGGAGGGGCCGCGGCGCTCCGCCCGCAGCGCGGCGGCCACCCGCGACGGACACCCCCGACGGACACCCCCCGAGGGGACACGCCGACGGACACCCCCACGGACAACCCCGAGCGCTGCCGCCTGCGGCGCCCTTAGCGGCGCTGGGTGGGGACTAAAGGTGCTTCGGGGGACGAAAAGTCGTTGGTTAAAACAGGACAGCAAGGGGAGAAAAATAAAAGCGAAGAACAGGAAACAAAACAAAAAGGGGGAGGGGGGGGAGGGAGAAAGGGAGGGGGAAAAAAGGAAAAGGGAACAAAAAAGAGTAGGGGGAAGGAAAAGAGGAAAGGGAAGACAAAGAAGAAAAATGAGGGCGAAGGAAAAAAAAGGAAGGGCAGAAAAAATGGAAAAGGGAGGGAAAAGGAGCAGGAAAAAGGGAGGGGAAAGAAGTGAGATTAAAAAAAGGAGGGCAAGAAAGAAGAGATGAAAGGGAATCCATAGGCTCAAAGAATGGTTTGGGTTGGAAGAAATCCTAAAGATCATCTAGTTTCAACCCTCCCTGCCCTGGGCAGGGATGCCACCCACTAGATCAGGTTGCTCAGAGCCCAGTCAAACTTGCCCCTTAACACTGACAGAGATGGAGTTCTAAGCATCCTCCTCTGCCCACAGGCAGCTGTATGACTCAAACTGCCTGGCAGCTGCTGCCAGTGTTGTTTCATCCTCACCCAAAACTGTTCATCACCATTTCACCAGTGGCCATAAATAAGTCCCTTCACTTTTTGGCAGGGGTTTGCCGGCCATTAGTTTGCTGCCTTGTTGAAAAGTCAGTGGGTTGAAGCTTATAGCCTCAAATGGTTGCTCTGAACATAAGACAGGACAAACAGGGGATCAGACCCAGCCAGCATGGGTCTGTGGAAGGCAGGTCCTGCTTGACCAGCCTGATGTCTTTCTATGACAAGGTGAGCCAACTAGAGGATGAGGGAAAAGCTGTGCATGTTGTCTACCTGGACTTTAGTAAAGCCTTTGACACCATCTCCCATAGCACTCTCCTGGATAAACTGGCTGCTCATTATGTTTATGAGTGCACTCTTCACTGGGTATAGAACTGGCTGGATGGCCAGGCCCAGAAAGTGGTGGTGAATGGAGTTAAATCCAGTAGGTGGCTGGTCATGAGTGGTGTTCCCAAGGGCTCAGTATTTGGGCTGGCCCTGTTTAATATCTTCATTGACTACCTGGACAAGAGGATCAAGTCCTTAGCAAGTTCATATATAACACCAGGTTGGATGGGAGTGTTGATCTGCTGGAGGGCAGGAAGGCTCTGCAGAGGGGTCTGGACAGGCTGGATCAATGGGCTGAGGCCAATGGTATGAGATTCAACAAGACCAAGTGCTGGGTGCTGCCCTTGGGTCACAACAACCCCAGGCAGCACTACAGGCTGGGGGAAGAATGGCTGGAAAGCTGCTCAGCAGAAAAGGATCTGGCAGTGCCAGTTGACAGTGGCAGAACATGAGCCAGCAGTGTGTCCATGTGGCCAAGAAGGCCAGTGGCATCCTGGCATGGATCAGACACAAAGAGACCAGCAGGACCAAGGAAGAGATTATCTCCCTGTACTGATGAGGCTATGTCTCGAGTCCTGGGCCCAGTTCTGGGCCCCCTACTTCAAGATAGATATCAAGGTGCTGGTGTTGCTGAACTTTAGGAACTCTCTAAACATGGACAAAGAGTCAGGATTAGAAAGGAGACATCGATTATTTTGCGCGGGGTGCAGAGTGGAAGTTTTTCCACAAATCAAGCACACAAAAGCGTAAAAAGCAAGGAAATGTATACACTAAAGTTTACAAAAACCGACCTATCTAATACATAGTAAACATCTACCTAATGCATAGTCTTTGAGCCTGGCAATCTTATGCAATACTTGTTACAGCCTGTATGGGCCTGTCTCTCGTGATCTCTGATGGTGTTCTGGAGAGGTGCCCCCTACTCAGTTTCCAGTAAAGTTCAGATCAGGACAGGCAGAGCCCTATGTTGAGTGCCAATTAGGATGTGATCTGCAGCTCAGGCTTAAACAATTGCCAAGCAGGACGTAAAACACAAAAGCTTTCCATAAGCATTAAGCAACACCTGTTAAACACACCTGATAACATCTATTCGTATTCAAAAGAAGGGTTAAAGGTGAGAAAGATACCATCAGCTTCCATCTGCAACAGAGATCAAAGGAAGGAATGGAGAATTCTGCTTAAAGATACAGAGAAGTCTGTTTGAACACATCACTAGAGCGTGTCCAGAGAAGGGCAACAAATCTGGTGAAGGGTCTGGAGCACAAGTCCTGTGAGGAGTGGCTGAGGCAGCTGGAGTTGTTTACCTTGGAGAAAAGGAGGCTCAGTGGAGATCTTATCCCTCTCTGCAACTGCCTGGAAGGTATTGAGGTGGGGAATTGGTCTCTTCTCCCATGTAACAAAAGAAGAAATTATCTCAGGCTGTACCAGGGGAGGTATAGTTTAGATATTAGGAAAAATTTCTTCATGAAAAGGATTGTAAAGCACTGGAATAGTCTGCCCAGGGAAGTGGTGGAGGCACCATCCCTGGGAGCATCCAAAAAACCTGTGAATACGGCACTTGACGACATGGTTTAGTGCTGAACATGGTGCTGGTGCTGCTTTGATGGTTGGACCTGATGATCCTATCAGGCTTTTCCACTCTTAATGATTCTGATTCCATAGGGACAACAAGCCACGCACATTCTTGTGCCTCAAAGCCTCAGTATGGTCATGGAAAGGACTCATGCTGAATCTTCTCCAAGGTCACACTTTTCCCCATTATAATCTCACCATTACCTCGTACCAGCAATACTTATTCATGCACATGCCTCTCTCTAAAGTCAGTTGAATCTACACTGGCTATACTGGGCTATATTGTAACTCTCATCACTCTCTGAAAATTTATGCCCCGAAAAAAGACACCACTTAGAACTCCAATGACATGTTAGGCTAGAAATGCTCAGTAGCCTCAGCTAACGAGGTGTCACTGCAGTGCTGACAGCTTTCTAAAGACATATGAGTTTTTTCTACCCTTCATCACAAAGTTGTGACTGCAGTGTTGCTGCCCAGCAAATTTTTGTGCGTTCCATGAATTGATGTCTGCATCTGGTTATTTTTAAAGGGCTCATATGTTGAGCAAAGAGGGAACTCCCAGCTTAGCTAGCTCCTTTCTAGAAGGTTGTAGGATACCCGATGACTTCTTCACTCACTTGGTGTCAGGCCACAGTGTTACAGAGATGAAACACCATTGCAGCCAAAAGATAGAGTTCCGTCCTCTGAAAATACTGTACCTCCACTGCACTGATTTCCCACTGTAGTGTCAGGTCAAGAAATTAATCATGGTTACAAGGAAGGTAGGCAAAAAGGGAAAATAGATCTGTGTTTTTACTGCATATTTGCAAAACCCAGATACTTGGGAAAGGGCAGAGCAAAATGAGGCACAAGGTCAGGAGCAGCTGCAGAGCTGTTACCCTGTGAAACTGAGGCCACAGGATTAGATCCTCTTGCATACCCCTGCCTCATTCTTTTACCATTTTATTTGTGCTTCACTCTTTGCTTCTACCACAGCAACCTAATCTTCCCCCTTCCACTCTTACAGGAGACTGTGTTTTGGGGGGATGAAGCAGCAATAAACCCAAGCTGCAGTCTCTCACTTCATAAGCATCTTTGCAGTGCCCCCAAGATTATTCCATGAAAGCAAGCACAGCTTATTCTATATAGTTTCTTTTACAACTTTTAGATTTAAATTGACAATTGAATACAAAGTGAATTAAGTTTATTGCTACACAGTCCACAGAGAAGGGAAAATCTAGCAGTTCCTCTTCAGTTTTACTACTGCGTACAGAGACTTAGCATAATGCTTCTATCATGCTTTTGAACATGTGTTATTTTAAACAGAAAACTGAGACAAACATTCCAGAAGTGTGTGAAAGGTAAACTAGCAAAAGAAGCATAAAGAAGAGTCTTCTGCAAAGAATGAGGACAGGTCCCATTTGCAGAATAAGAAACTTCTTGCTTCAAAAATTAATCTGCATTTTAAAATGTTCAGCTACTATGGGCTTTGTCAGGAGCAGCACGTTCAAAAGCTGTGCTCCCAGAACCAATCTGCACAGAAGGCAGCTCATCACACACCATCTTCAGCAGTTCCCTTCAGAGGAACTTGCTTTTACAGGTGTCATAAATGACAAACGAAAGACTATGCTCCCATCTGCCCTTCCCCAGTAAAATTAGTGAGGAGAAATAAGGTAACAGAATCCCTTTTATCAGCAAATCATGGAAACTCTCTGACCTGGGCTGAGTTACAGAGGAAAACAGTCTGCTGTTATGCATCATTTATTCTAAGTACTCCGAGGTCTGATCAGAAGAGATAAACACATTGAATACGTTAGATTTAGAATTTAAAACAAATTCAGTGTGCATATATAAATTTTTATTTACTTAAGGCATCAAAATTGCCCTTTTTAATAAAAGGGTCATTTTTCCCTTTAACCAATACTTTGGTGAAAGAAATGTCACATTTAGTAGACTAATTTTCACTGGTATACTTGTTCTGAACAACCAGGTGTAATTCAATGTACAAGATGAAAAAACGAACACAAAATATCTAAACATACTATTTCATGAATTACTCTGTAGAACAAAGACTTAAGGCTTGTTTGCATCACGCTGATGATCAATCATGCATCATTTATTCCCACAAAAAATAAAATCCAGGAATAGCAGTAGTCTGGTATAATCCCCATATTGTTTACATCAAAAAAAACCAATTTGGCATCTTAGAAATTAGATTGAAAAGTAGGAGAAAAGAGAGGAAAACAGAAAATGGTCCTTGCTTCGAAATCCTTTTTATGAATTTCCAGAGTCCATTTGCAGGAACCCTTCAATTTAAAGAGGAAAAACAAGACTTTCAAGGTTTGAACTAGGAATATTTTCAGAAAAACTAGAGTTATGGTTCCATTGATGATGAATGTGACATATCTAGCAAAAATACATTGTTTGGAATAATGAATTCCATACTGAGATCCCCAAGTAAATGGCATATATACATTGAGCTGAGCCTGTTTAATAGGTCTGATTTATAAAAATGGTAAACCTGTATTATGCTTCAGCCTGATTTAAAATTCCTGAGTTTTAGATCACTGCTAAGTCACAGCAGACAAAACTCTGAACGACGTAATGAAAAGTTTTGCAAATCACTTTCAACATTAGCACACATTTTGTTCGTCAACTTTTAATCATCAATAAAAGTCAGTCTTCCAGGTCCTTCATTTCTCATCCACCGCCGATATCGCTTCCATCGGGGATCCATGGCCATCTTCTTCTTTAACTCCTCCTCTTGTTCTCGTTTATAGACCTGATAGACAGAGAGAAGATTTTAGTAAGGCCGAAGAAACAGCTTAAGTCAGCCTGAAGTGGGATGTGTTTATACTTCAACCATTTGCCAGTTTATTTTTCTTACAGAAGACTGAATTGCAACATGGAAGCAGACCTTGGCTGACACAAAGTGTCAGAGCACCTGCAGCCCAAGAGCCGTAGTCCAGATACTCCCCTTTTTTGCTGAGAGCAGAACTACTCTCTTTAAGATGGTACTGCAAGCTCCAGAACTTTTATTCCAAAGAACTAGATGCTTATGCGTTCAACAGAACCAAATACACAGTAAGCAATGGCTAATGCTCCAAAAGCTAAACTTGGAGTCCCTCCTAAGCACACATGCTGTTCAATGCAGCTGTTCAGTTCCTCACTGTAGTTCTCCCATTTCAAAGTCATTATCTAACAGAATACTGCTATGGAACTTTTTATTCCTAATTAAGGTTCTCAACAAAGTTAACATCTCTGTGTGAAGTATTTGCAATACCAACTGACAAATAATTACATTTCTGACAAGAAGTAGTGTCATTGTAATGAAATCTACAATTACTAGCAAAGCCAATTGTCCTTAAAAAAAAAAAAAAGCAACAGCACCTACATTTTTATTCTGGAAGGCAGTTTATGTAGGTACAGCCAGCATCAATCTCAGTACCATACATGTTTATGTCATCTCAGTGTCATCTGACCTCTCCTGACTCAGAAGGCAATTTAATTTAAAGTTCTCCTATGCATGAACAAGATTTAAAAATATTATAGATTGCTACATAAATACACCATCTCAATATTCAGTGAAGAATCATTAGAAAACAGAAAAAAAATATTGTGTAGCTCCATGATGCAACCATGTATTGAATTCTTGATCTTTCCCATCCTGAAAGGGACACCAGAAAACTGAACAATATGCAAATAGACATCTCCAACAATGAAAGAACAGAGAAGCTTTTGGGGAGAAACACTTAGAGTATGTTTTTCAGCCTAGAAAATACATGACTACATTTCAAATAAGGATATGGTAGTGGCACACAAAAGCACCAGTAGCCCAAGAAGAGAATAAAGCATGATTATTCTCCATTTTCAGTAATACTGGAATGAGAAGGAGTCCGTGTGGCTTCAAAAAAACCCCATCTTCTGCAAATGTTGGTGAACTGCTGACCAGATGGCACAGCAGACACTGAAAGCTTTAATGCATTCCAGTGACTAGGTAAGTTTATTAAAGAAAAACTTATTAAAGCAATTACCTACAAAGACACTATTTTCTCTCCAGGAAATCCCAAATAAATATTACTATACAGGTGCAACTTTCATGTATTCTTTACTGAAAATCAGCAGCTGGCCACAACAGGAAATGAGTGTGGGCTAAACAGACTTCACTTGTGGCAAATGCAGCTCTTTTATATTCAGTGACCCAAACATGACTAGTTAAAACGTCATGGATCAGAAACCACCACATTTTTTCTCCATCCTATCTTACCTTTTCCATGTAACACCTGCTTTGACTAGTAGCATTGCTCAATTTTTGCACTTCCAGATTGTTTTCTAGCAAACCCCTACTAACTGAACACGCATATGCACCTGCCAGCTAGTCCTTTCCTTATATTAGCATCTATTTTACTATTTTCCTCTTCAGGTTTGTAGAGTAATACACCCCTGTCTTCTTTTGAAGAAGCATTCTCCTATCTTTGGTGTCCTGCCACCATCCCATTTCTTTTCCCAGCAGATGCAGGGCAGCAGCATCTCCTCTTCCCCTTAAGCAGGCCAAGTCTGTATTTTTTCTTTAGAAACCTCCCACCCAGATGCCCCACAGATGCACCTCTGCAGAACAATCGGGAGTATTTTTTCAATCTGCCATGCCCCAGCATCCCAAATCATTCTGGACTGCAAACTCCATGCTGTGGTTAATGTTCTTTTGCTGCTCTCACAGACACCTCAACAATTATATATTGACTATTTAGTAACTGGCTATCCATGGCAAGAATAGCAGTTGTGGTCTTTTTTACCATCCTCACTTGAACAGGTATTCAGCACTGCAGGAACAGTCCCTGATTCACTGATGGCCAAAGAACTATCAAGAAACAGTTAGGGAAAAACCCAAAACAATAACAACAGCAACAACCACAATAAAAAAAAAGCCCTGAGCTAGGAATTAAGCTTAGAAGACTGACGACATAGGAGTTTCAGACAATCAGGGTAATCCTTATTACAAATTATTGCTTTTTGGAGAATATAGTCTTCAACCTCCTGTAATAACCTTATGATAACACACTGTTATAAGAAAGCCTTTCATCAGATTAAACCGAATCTTGTACGCATACACAGATGTCCTCTGACTGAGCAAATCCTTTCCTACACCCATGGGCATAGTCAGGAGCTGTTGTCTACCAGGCCATGTGCATAAGAAGTCAAAGGAAACACACCAAGTGATTGTCTCACAGTTTTCAATTTGGAAAGTAATAGCTGAAATTGAAGCAATGCTTCGCACAGACCCATGCCAAGCACCTTCACAAGATGGCAGTTCTTACTCTGGGAGCAATGGGTAACTAACATTAGTTTTTCACCAGAGCTACCCACCTCGTAGTTTTCTCGTATCCACAGCTGCCGTTCAAGAAAGGTCTCTTTTTGATGATCTTCTAAGCTGTCAAACTGAGACTGAGACATTTTCATGTACCTTCGTATGATATACAGCTTCTCTTCCACACCATACTCCTGCCCTTTAATAGTGAAACAATAAATCCACCAACAGTACCAAACCACATATTTGCACAAATAAAAAGGAGCAAGAAGGATCTGAAATAGAAGGATATCATATATCTTGGGCTTCTGATAACCACCCTTTATATCTATTTTATTTTTAATAATGTCTTTGATAATTTCTTCCTCTTCTTCACGAATTTCTTCTTTAGATCGCCTGTTCTTTCCTTTTTCTTTAGTCTTGTTGAGTAAACCTTGTTGTCTAGCAATCTCAGTGGCTTGTATACGGTATTTTGGTACAGTAGCTAAGTAGTTGATAGCTTCATTGTAACTACTCCACCAGCTGAAGAACTGTAATTTAAGAACAGTAAAAGTAAAAAACTTATTTTTATACAGACACATTCCTATCTAGAGGTTTGCCAGGAAAAAAAAAAGACATAATGCTGTCGCACACCTTTAACCACAGTTACATCATAATAAGGGTAAAAACTGAGGGTAACAGTTCTACTGTGGTATTACAGAAGCTGTAATCATTCCTCTGAACTTAGTAAAGCACCTGGAAAACAGATGTACAGAACTGTATCTCATAGCAATTTACAGTGACAGCCAAGGACAAGCAGGCACTATTCTGAATGGTTTTGTTTATGAGAAGATCGTCAACTTCTGAAGGTCAATGCCAGGCTGTGCCAGCCATTCTCAGAAGCCCCACTCCTTGGAGTGATAAATAAAGTAGCCAATATATGAACGTCTAATTATACAATTGTTACCCACTGTTCATTAAACACGGATTAAGTATGTGATGATCTCATTTGCCTGACAGGATTCACTTTGCAAGATTCAACACCCCTCTCTGATCTCCAACTGCCCTCTGAATTTCAGTGGGGGTGAAAAAGAACCCAAACAAGAAACCACGAATATACTGCCTGGGTGAACACAGAATCATAGAATATCCTGAGAATATCCTGAGGTGGAAAGGACCCACAAGGATCGTCAAGTCCAACTCCTGGCCCTGCACAGCACAACCCCAAGAATGATTCCTTCTGAAGACAGGAGCACAATGACTGTCATGGTCAGCTCAGAACTGATGTTGTTCCCATCTAGTGCCTTGTAAATGACATGAGATGAGGCACGGAAATCATAGAAGAAACCACACAGGCACCTTAGCAAAGGCCAAGAAGCAGAAACAACAAAAAGCGAGACAGGCAAACCAGTTTACAGAGATGCTTACAGTGAATTTGCAATCATCTGGCAGGTGAACTGCAGGAAAGTGTCTCCACTTACAGCCAAATGAAGAAATAAGATGTGAAATGAAACTTTTGCCATTGGAACAAAATCAGAGAAATTAGGTATTTGGTAGCATGTCCCATTAGAACTTACTATTCCAAGCTCTCAAATTCTGATCAACGTGTTTTGTTATTTCAACTTCCAATATCTCACTAATCGTGAGAGACCTACACCATGGACTAAGCTGTATCTTTATACCTCAAACTTCTTGGGTATTATTAATGATGTTTGAGCCAGTAAACTAACAGATCCCAAAGAAAAGTCATGCATCTTCCTACTCTTAAATATGTGTCAGCAACAGCACAAATTTTCTCATCTAAGACACAGGCTGCTTTCTTGACCTTGGATCTACCACCTTCAGAGTAAACTCTGCTGAAGAGAATTTGCTTCTCTCCTGACTTCATCCTTGTGGTGTTTCAAGATTTAAAGGTGTGAGATTCAAATCTTAGTAAACTCCTGATCATCTATGTGAATTGAGTCTTGAATTTAATTTGCAATTAGTCTGTTTTTTAAAAAATGACTTATGCACCTTGACAAACCAACACCCATTATTTGGAGCACTAGTCCTGCCTGTGCTCAAGAACAGGCTATTCCGAGCCTGCCAGGAAGAACTACGTAACTTCTTCAGAAAAGCTACACTTGACTCAGTGAAATTAAAAGAAAATAATCTCTACTTTTGTTCAAGGTACCAAAGGCAGTCAAAAATCTGCTCAGTACATTCTGACTTCAGGATTGTTACGGACACCATGCAGAACTTCAGCACAGCAGAGAAGAACAGACCCTCACTTTTTATTAAATGGCACATTATGAGAACTGTCACTACACCTCTCTCTTCAGAAACTCAGAGAATGATGTAAACATGAAATTTTACCTGAAACACAGAGATGGCACACACGGTAACTAGGATCACTATTCTGACATCCACTTTAGGTGCCAATCTCCTGCTGTAGTAGTGGTAATAATGCCTGTAATACTCTTCAGGATGATCCAGCATGTAGTCATAATCTTTACGTGTTTCTTCATCCTGCAGGATGAGATGAAAAACACATCCAGGTTCAGGTTCCTGTTTTCACTTACTCTGTTATAGCTTTGTTTTACATCGCATTAATGACCATGCTGCTGTAAAACTGGCAGTAGATCAAGTGAGTATGAAGCACAGAGGAAGATCTTTGGTCTTTTTCTTATATTCTCAATTATTTTGTTCTCAGACTTATCTGACCATTTAAGTAGGACATATGTAGTCTTAAAATGAACAAGCAGGCACTGTGTGAAAGACATTTAAAACTGGAGACAAGCAGTTGAAATCCACACAATAAGTATTTTTAACTTCAGAAAGAGAAGTCCAGATGGACTGGAGTTAATAAATATTGTTCTGGAAAAGATTTTCATATGAAGAACCTATTACAAGATTGTTTTACAAAACTTTTAAGAATTAGTTTACAGGGCTGTGGAATCTGTCCAATGGAAGGCCATTTCAAAACCTCATTGTTCTCATTTTCTCTGTGTTTTTCTTCATTCTCCCTCATATAATTTTGGGATAGGAAATTTAATTTTGACAGACTCAACTGCATTCCATTCAACACTCCTCTTCCAAAAGAAAAAAAAAACACCAAACGACTTCCCTTTTTTAATTCCTTGTAGTCTTAAAACACTTACAGGTCTCTTTCTTCTATTCCGGGGCTCCATCTTTGCGAAATCACACATGTTTTGCCCTGATTAGCCTTCCCTTACAGATCCCATATGCTACCCGGGTCACTGCTACTTTTAAAGGTATGCCTCTAAGATAAAGACCAGCCGGCTCGTTAAAAATAAATAAAATCTTTTCGAAAGAACGAATCCTAAACACAAAGGGATTTCCAAGGGAACTCCATCCTCCTCCCCGCACTCCCGGGCTGGCTACCGAAGGAGGTTTTTCGTGGTGTTTTTCCTCCCCTCCCTGACTGCTTACCGGAGCGGCTCCGGCCGCGGCGGCGGTCCCGCTCTCTCACCTTGAGGGTCTCGTAGGCGGTGGCGATGAGCAGGAACTTCTCGTGTGCCGCCTGTGCGCCGCCGGCCCCGCCGCCCGCGGGCTCCCCGCGGTACCGGTCGGGGTGGTACTGCCGGGCCAGCTGCCGGTAGGCGCGGGCGATCTCCGCCTTGCTGGCCTGCCGGCTGACGCCCAGCACCTCGTAGCAGACGCGGCGGCCGCAGTAGAGCCCGTCGGTGAGGCCCCCGCGCCGGCCGCGGCAGCAGCGCCGCGCACAGGCACAGGCACAGCACCCACGGCCCGTCCGGGCCCCGCAACGCCGCCATTTCGCCGCCGCCGGGCCCGGGCCGCGCTCCGCGCCGTGCGCGCGGCCGGGGGCGGGGCCAGCCGGGGCCAGGCGGGGTCGCGACAGGAGGCGGGTCGCGACAGAGCCCGCGCTGTAAGGGGGTCGGTAGGAGGGAGTTGCGCTCTGCTCGGCGGTGCCGAGCAATAGGACGAGTCCTTTCCCCCTGATTTCTCACAGGCTGCGCCTTCTCGTTCTTTCAGCCGGCGGTGTGCCCTTGCGGCCGGGAGCGCCCGCGGAAGCCTGGGATGCACTAGGAAGAGCGCTGCCAGCAGGTCGAGGGACGTGATCCTGCACCGCAGGCCCAGTGAGGCCGCATCTGGACTGCTGTGTTCACTTCTGGTCTCCACAGCTCAAAAAGGACATGGAGCTACTGCAGAGGGTCCAGCAGAGGCCACAAAGATGATGAGGGGTCTGGAGAATCTCCCTCATGAGGGGAGACTGTGGGAGCTGGACCTATTTAGTCTAGAGAAGCCTGAAAGGGGACCTTAATGCATATAATATCTCAAAGGTGGGGGTGCCTAGAGGAAGGTATCAGAATCTTTTTCAGTGGTGCTCAGTGACAAGACAAGGAGTAGTGGCCATAAACTAAAACACAAGAAGTTCCACCTCAGCATGAGGAAGAACTTTACAATGAGGGTGGCAGAGCACAGGAATAGGCTGCCCGTGGAGGTTCTGGAGTCTCCCTCTCTGGAGATACTGGAAACCCACCTGGACATGTTCCTGCTGTTAGGTGTCCCTGCCTTGGCAGGGGGGTTGGACTCGTTGTTCTCCAGAAGTCCCTTCCAACCCTAATGATTCTGTGATTCTTCCAGGGAAAAACCTTTTAAAATAATGCCTGAGCCCATGCCTGGTTTGGGCTTGCTTCTGGCAGAGCTCAGACTTTGGCTGCCTGTCATGTGGGATCCAGCCCCAAAGTGGGAACTGCCGTGTGCGCTCCCAGCCCCTCTCACTACACAGACCCACAGGGAGCACTCCTGCTGCTGCTACGTGAAGACACAGCTGAGAGAGGACCTCACTAATGCCTGTAAGTATCTGAAGGGAGAGTGTCAGGAGGGTGGAGCCAGGCTCTTCTTGGTGGTGCCAAGCAATAGGACAATGGGCAGAAAGCGATGCACAGTAGAGTTCCACCTGAACATGAGGAAGAACTTCCTTACTGTGCACGTGACCATGCACTGGAACAGATTGCCCAGAGAGATTGTGGAGTCTCCCTCATGGAGGACATTCAAGAACCATCTGGATGTAATCCTGTGCGATGTGCTCCAGGATAATCTTGCTTGAGCAGGGAGGCTGGACCAGATGTCCTTCAATGGTCCCCTCCAACCTGACCCTGTGATTCTCTGTGATTCTGCATGCACAGCTCCCCAGGATGGTGGCTGCAACAGCAGGCCTGTGATCTCCTCTACCTGAAGACTTCTCCTGGAAAGGAGGACTACATGTCTGCTCCAGTGTATCCAGCAGGAACATTACCTCAGTGTTAGACCTTTCCCAGGAAAGCCAGAAATATGCCTGACACTGTAAATATCCACCACAAAAATGCTCAGCTCATCAGAGAGCATGTGCTGTTCTTACACTAGAAATGAGTGTGCATCCCATGTGCCTGGCATTCTCTGCCTGTCTCCTTTCTGCATTAATAAATGCTTATTATTTCACTGAGAGATGGATGGGTCACAAATCTGTTTCCTAAAAAAAAAAAAAAAAGCTACCTCTTTGCAGCTCACTAGAGCCCAGCCTCTGAGTGCTCTGGGTTGGCAGTCAACTCCTCAGGCAAATTATGGTAGGTTGACCTGGACTGGACACCAGGTGCCCACCAAACTGTTATATCACTCCCCCTTCTCAGCTGGACAGGGGAGAAAAAATAAGATGGAAAACAACTAAGTGGCTGAGAAAAGGCGATTTACTAAAGCAAAAGTTTGTGGATGCACTAGCAAAGAGAAAAAAATAAATTATAAATTATTCTCTACTTCCCATCAGCAAGTGATGTCTGGCCACTTCCTGGGAAGTGGGGCTTCAGTGTAGATGTTGCTCTGGAAGGCAAACGTAAATAATGAATGCTCTTCCTTCCTCCTCCTTTTCTTAGCTTTTGTATCTGAGCTGACAGCATAGGGTCTGGAATAGCACTTTAGTTAATTTGGGTTTGCTGGCCTAGTTGTGTCCACTCCCAGAATCTTGCCCCAGCCTACTGATGGAGGGTGGAACGTTGGAGAAAGCAGTGCTGATGCTGTGCCAGTGCTGCTCAGCCGTAGCCAAAACACTGGTGTGTTGTCAGCATCTTTCTAGCTACCAGTGGAAAGCACAGAACTGTGAGGGCTGGTGTGGGGAAACGAACTCCAGCTCAGTCAGACTCAATAGAGTAATGAAGCTCTGACACTGTCACTTAGACTCACTTCTGCCCTGGGACTGGCCCTGGAGCTGTAGGGAGAGGTCATCAGCTGCTCAGTCGCAGCAGTAAGGAGGCTGGGGACGCCTTGTCTGCTGTGCCCCAGGGGCGCCTCTTGGTTGCCAAGATGATTCTTACGGAGACCACACGTGGCATCGCAACGCTTGAGAGAAAGACGCTGTATGGTGGTCGCACCTCTCTCTCTTGTGGTCTGAGCAAGCCGAGAACGGCAAGCGAGGAATTCTTCGGAGCAGCTTTATCCCTCCAGTATTCCAGGCTTTGGGATACAGCGGCTCGGCAGCGACGCTGGAGTCGGTGCTGGGCGGGGCCGTGCCAGTCTCTCAGGGGGGCGGGGCCGGGCCGTGGGCGGGGCCGGGCGGGCACTGGGCGGGGCCGTGCCAGTCTCTCGGGTCCGGTCTGTGCCGGCCGTGGGCGGGCCATGTCCGGACAGTGGCGGGGCTCGCCGCCCTGCCGGCGCACTACACGGCCGCGCGGGGGCGCCCCGCGCCGCTCCGGTGCGCGTCCGAGCGCCGCCGGCCCCGCCGGAGCGCGCCATGGAGGTCAGCGCGGACTCCGGTCAGTGCTGCCCGCCGCAAACCTCCTCCTCGGGGCCCCGCCCGGGCGGGGCGGCGGCGGCGGGGCCGGGCGTGTGCGCGTCGGGGGACGGGCGGCGGAACGGCAAGGTCTCTCTCTAAATATTAAACTGCCGGCGTGACTGAAGGGCGGGCTTTGCGCTGTCGAGGGCAGCCAGCAGGGAGGAGGAGGGGGGAGGAGGAGGGAGAAGGAGGAGGAGGAGGAGAAGGAGGAGGAGGAGGGAGGAGGAGGAGGAGGGAGGAGGAGGAGGAGGGAGGCGGCCCGCCGCCGGCCCGGTGCCTGGTGCCGGAGCGAGGTGGGAGGTGCGGAGCGTCTCTCGCCGCCTCCCCCCCTCCCCAGCCAGCAACATGGCCGCGGGCCGCCCAGGACAGCTCAGTAGTGCCCGAGCGCCGGGACTGGCAGAGGAGGCCGGGCGGCGGGCCGGGTCCTCCCGCAGCGGATTCCGCTCTGCGGCGGGCCCCGACCCGCTACCCGGCCGGCGTGTTGACGCAGCGGGGCCGGGCCGCCTTGGGCGGCCATCTCGTGAAGCGGAAACCGAGAGCAGCGGCGCTTCCCGCATCCTGGCCCCTCGGCGGGGTCGGCGGCCTGTACCTCCGCCGCCGGCTGCGTGACCTTGCACGGGGAGGGAGCCAAGGGGCGGCGGACCTCGCGGGACGGGGAGCTGCTCAGCCCGCCGCCCCTGACGGGTCAATGAAGTGGCAGGCGCCTCTGCCCGCCGGAGCTCTCGCCCCGTGTTGTTGGACCGCCGTGTTTGAAACACAGAACCGGCGCGAAGACACCGCGGGCAGGCACATCCAGGGGCGGGCCCCGGCCCGAGGTGCGGTGCCGGGCGGGGGATGCGGGAGCGCATCGCCTCCGTGCGGCTCTCGCCACATGACCTGAGGTGCCGCAGCCGCCGGCGTTCGGGGCGGGGGGAGCTCGGCCCTGTGTTCTTGTCACCTCCAGGCCCCTCTCTCAGAGACTCCGGGGCAGCACATGGTCAGCTGCTCTTTGGAGAAGCCTATGCAACTTTTAAAAAGCGGTTTTTCTTGCCTTGCCTTTCCTGTCATGGCAAAGAGCTGATTCTTAGCCGTGAAGAATTAATAGCAAGATAACGTATGACTCAGCCAAATGAGAGGGCCTTTGGTTGCCCTGAAATAGTACTTGGCAGTCACCAGGGAGGAAGGGCAGAAGAAATACTTTGAGCATATTTGTACTATTGGCTTTCAGTACTAAGGCATTTCTGTGTGATATGTCTTCAGGATTTTTTTTTTGTTGTGAGCTGCTGTGTAGACAAGCTTTTAGTTCTGCTCTTTGTTAGATGTTACTGGAATTAGGCTAAGTGGAACAGGCATATGATAATGGACGTCCTTTATGTAGCCGGATCCCATGGTGAAGTAAGAAGGATCTTGATCCTGCACTGATCCTTGAACTGGAGGACCCAGATGCCATGCTATTTATTCCACTGACAACTGGGGCAAATTGTAATAATGGCAGTGAAAGCTTTCACTGCTGCTGTTATCCAAGAGATTCTGTTGTCAGCTTTACAATACTAAAGCGATTCCCTTTGGTGAAACCAGTTAGCCTGAGATCTCTTGCTTGTAACTCCTTGGCATTTATCTGTGTGTAATCTAGCTTCCCAGCCTCCAGATATGATCTTGCAAAAAATTAGTCTTCAGCCATGTGCCTGTTGCTATGCAGCCCTTTCCGTTAAACTGTGCTAAAAGGACAAATGTCCCTAAATTGAGATTCACATTAATAATTACATGTTGTCATTCGGGTTACTTGACCACTGCATCCTTCAAAATTGAGAGGGTTTTATTGGTTTGGTTAGTAATCTTTTTAATTTGTTTGGGGGGAGGAATATCTTTTGGGATTTTTTGTTTGGTTAGTTGGTTGGTTTGTTTTGTTTTTTTTTTCCCTGGTGCCTCATCTGTCACTGAATAGAAAGTACCATAGTCTTAAAAAATAATTAAAGCTAATGAAGAGTAACTTTATGTAGAGAAAGAGGAGGAAACTAAGATTCTCTA